TCAGACGTGTGCTCTTCCGATCTAGGTTAGACATATAAAGACAAATATATATTATTGATAATTTTATATACCCACATTTGTAATTACATTTATGTTTATTGGTAGCATGTGATGTATCCACAAGTTGCATATATGATATTTTTTTGCTTGTAACAGTACAGCAAAATTCAAATACTTGACCATTTGCATATTTTCTCAAATATTGGACTACCTTAATAAATTTTTTTTAGAAAATATAATATTGTAGAAAATATATTTGGTTTCATATTTTATATGTTAAAAAAATATTTTTAGTTTAGGAAAAATGTAATATACAATACTTTTTTATATACTCGGTAAATTTGTTTCTTCGCCCCCCCAACCCCCCCATTAAATTGGGATTATTTCTTTTGTTACTTTTTTTATTAATAACTTTTTAACGAATAACGAGCGATGGCTAAAACCCTCTTGATAGTCACTCAGGATCATGTCCTTGACTTCATTATGTGAAGGTCAAGATCATTGGGGCCTGCAGGGTCTGTTGTTATCAATATTTACCCAGTATATATAATTAATAAGATACGTTAAAATGCAATTATACAATAGATATACTCAACAGATATATTGCTATTTATATTTATATTATATTATAAATTAAGGTTAAACTTCAATATGTTGCTGCACAATTCCTTTTCATGCGCAACAAATGCGGTGGAAATAATTCTGAAAAATTTGAATCACGTGACATTTTGCTGCTGCTGCTTGCTGCGTATGAAAAGGCACCTTTAACAAGCAACAATTTTTCTCGAGGCCTATGATTCGGACTCCGTTTGTAAACTGAATTCATCTTATTTTATTTTATTTTATTTTTATTAAACACCGTATTCGCAAAATCAGAGTATTCTCTCTCTCCTCCCCCTCTCCCACTCCCTCTCTCTAGCCCGCTTTCGCTCATTCTTCCTTTTCTCACCACAGCACACTACTCGCGATTAATTGATGGCAGGAGTGACAGGACCCGGTGGGAGTGGAGGCAGTTGAAAAAGTGCGGAAACTCTCCATCGTGGTGTATTACATACACATTCAACACGATATACATACATACATACATACGTACGTGACGTACATCATACGTGGTTGCGTGTGTTGAACAGCGGCAGGCTCGGCTTTCGACTTTCCATGCGTTGACGCGGTGATGTTCGCATAATCGGCGTAGTCGACGGTTAAGTTAACATTGTAATCGTGAAGCTTCTGAAATGTCGCGTATGAGGACGGAGAAGAACGGAAACGGGGCAAAGTGCGAGGTTAGCGTATGGACACGTGCGATCACCGCAAACTCCGAGTGGCCGGACAAGGTAAACATAACCCTCGACTCGCGCTGTGGTAACCTGGCTGCGTTCCGATATTCACTGTCAGTGTTGAAAATCTATAGTGCACGTGACATATGCTATAGATTTTCAATATTGACAGTGAATATCGGAACGTAACACCAGTCCCATCGGGCAGAGGAATCCACAAAGCGAGAATTGTCTCTAATCTGACAATCTTTGTATCTTTTCTCTTGTCTTCTTCTCGTAGGAAGAATTTCTCGATGTGATCTATTGGGCGAGACAGGCGATCGGTATTATCGTCGGTATAGGATGGGGCCTTATACCACTAAAAGGTTTTATAGCTCTATTGTTGTAAGTATAGAGACAATTGGGTATTTAGGGCTCTTTTTATCGTTTCTTTTTTAATAAATCTCATATATTTCTCAAATCGCAGATGTTACGGAGCATCATTGTGTGTTGTCACGTGTTTACATTTCAGATTTGTAGTAGTCAATGCAGGAATTACCTATTTATACTTTAGCAGTTTCCAACAAATCGACGAGGAGGAGTACGGTGGTATGTGGGAATTGACAAAAGAGGGATTCATGACCTCGTTCGCTGGGTTTCTGGTGAGTGCACCACAGGATCAATATTTTTCTTAACGAATCTATCTTTTTTTCTTTCCTATTTTTCTCTCGCCCTTCCATGCTGTACTTTATTACTGTTTGTTTGTCAATAGGTGACTTGGATTATTATATATTCAGGATTGCATTTTGACTGATTTACTCGACAAGACCATGAATAAAGAGAGCAATAGCTTTTTCACACGGATCATCGCTGCTGCCAAATTCATTATACATGTGCAATTGTCACTCTCGTAATAGATATCGTTGTATACAGACTCATATACTGTTACATATTGTTACATATAAATATGATTTATCTGTATAAAAAAAAACCTTTTTACCTTCTCAAACTACGTATCTTAATTCTAACCGCTAGAATTACAATCGAACTTTCACAAATTCTTTTCTTTCGTTCTCGCTCCAGTGTCTATTTACAATTTACATTTAATCAACATACGAAACTCAGCGCAATGCACTTTGTAATGCTATAAAAATACATTTGTACCCTTCGTATTTTCCTCAGAATAATCTTTCAGAAAAATTTTACAGAATCTTCGGGGACGCTTCCGCTACTTTTTAGCCTATCATCAAGCGTTTGCGTCCTCGCGCTTGTACCTGCTTGTATTTAGCGAGCACTTGCTTGTATTGGTTTTTATTTTGATAATGCTGTTGATAGTGATGAAAAATACGGGAGAACAACGTCGGCACTTCGGAATGCGCGCTAAGCAGTGATCGTTCGAGAACGTACAAATCGACGGCTTTGTCTTCCAGCGTGGAATCCACTCGGGCCAGTCCAAAGTCTATCATTACGAATTGTGCCTCGACTGCAGAGAAATAACATCACGATATAGTGAGAGATAACTGAATTGTCTATAATATAAATATTTAATTTTAAAGTACAATAAACTCTGAATAAACACTGCGCTTTTTTGACGTAAAGCAACTTCGTCGGCGATGACTCGTTTCAGACACAAATATAATGAAATTTATTCGTTTATCACGGCCGCGGCTCTTAACGTGATATTAGCGTCATATGCAAAGAGAAACGCCGTTGCAAGAGATTTTATTACCTTTGGATTGATCATTGTAAGGCGACTCGCTCGAGTCGTTCTTGAGCAGTATATTCGACGTGGTTAAATCGCCGTGGATAATGTGCCTCGAGTGCAGTCTAGCTATCAGTGTGCCCAGCCCGCATCCTATGAAATCTAGCAGGTGGTCCACGTCCGTTTTCCCCGAAATATTCCTGTCTATGAAGTCTTTCAGCACTGTAGCATTCTCCACGTACTCCATATAGATACTGCGTCGCTCCAAATCTACCAGATACAAGGCCGGCGTTGCTATTCCTTGGAAACAGAAAGGGGCAAATTATGTATTAAGTAGACGAGATCAATAAATGCGAGTCCGTATTCTTCCGCTGGTTGCGTACTTCGATGCGTCGCGCGTGTTTTTTACCTGCGGACTTCGCCCTGATAATGGCGCGGGCTTCGGCTCTAATACGGTCCTTGGTGAGGCGAGCGTCCAGCTCTGGGTGTCGATAATTCTTTAAGAATCTCTCCTTCATCAGGCATGTCTTTCCCAGATAGAGTCCCTTATAGAGACGCGCCTCCGCGCCTTGCGCTATCAACTCTGGGTTTTTCATTATCATTATCGGAAATGCACCGCGTCAATCGAGGCAATTGGTGGATGCCTCCGTAAATATTCCACTCCTGTTTGTTCGTTGTCGCAACGAGTCCTAGAAAATGAAACGACTGAATTTGAGGGAAAAGATCTCGAGGCTCTCTTACTCACGATAGGGGTGAGATCCTCGTGTGTTATCGCGAAAATAGTAACATGCACGCGCATATCTAATCAATTAGACGGCCAAATATTACATTCGCGCGTTACATTCGCGAAAACGGATCTACGATTTACGCAATGAATCTTCGCGAATGATCCGCAAATAAAAGGCCCATTCGAAGCTTCAGTAAAGCATGTGCATATTCAAGAAATTAAATGCCCAGATATTCCATCGCTAATTTGCGCGAGCAATCACGCTTTTCATCTCCCGTTCGTATGCAAACATACGGAAGGACGAGACGAAAAGAGACATCGGTCCTTCGGCCGTCCGATTCGCTTGCGCGAGGCGAGGCGAGGCGAACGTTAAGGGCGAGGCCACGGGCGAGGGCGCGGACGCGAGGGCGGCGAGGAGGTAAAGTACTTCGGGAGAGCGTGGCCGCTAGCGCTAGCGAGGCGAGACGAGGGCGAAACGCGAATCGATCGTTACCCGCCAGCGTCCTGCGCGCTAATCGCTATCCCGGCGCTAGTATTCGCTCGTACTTTGTTCCCGTCGGTCCGCCACTCGCCGCCGTGCTTGCGAGCTTCCCCATCCGCGGGGGTGGTGCGAGTTGGCGAGAATAAGAAGAAGACGAAGACGAGGACGACGTGGCGGTGGGAGCATGAGGGACGAGGTGAAGATGGACGCGAACCGGCTGATCGCCGAGGTCTACAAGCGACCGGCCCTCTGGAACCAGAGGCACATCTCCTACCACAATCGCGAGGTGACCAACCGCGTCTGGATGGAGATCGCGGCGATATTCAATCTGCCCAGTACGTGTCATGTAAACACCCTGTCTCTCCCCGGGGCTGGTACCGCGAGCCGCGATAATCGGCTCGCACGCTCGCTCGCCCGCCCGCCCGCGATGCAACGCGCTCGGCGCTGTCCAGGCGCCCGCCGTCCTGCGCCCATGCGTCGCCCGCTCGCGCGACCATTCCTTTCCTCTGGCAAGGATGAGAGCGACTCGTGCGTCGCGACCGCGGTGATCGTGACATCGAGACAATTCTGATGAGCGAATCGTCAGATCAGGAAGGATGTGGCGATTCGCTCGTCTCATAGATAATTTATCCTTAAAGCGCCTATTTGAATCGGTCTTCTCTCGGAGAAACGCGACGTTGAAGTTCTTATTTAACGGTATACAATAAAAATATCCGCGCGCTCTTAAAACTAGACTAATAAAACTTTTCTTTCCTATGCCATGAAAATATCTAGAAAAAGAGAAAAATTAAGGATTCATCTTCGACGTATTTTTGGCGGAGTCCCTTTTATTGAATTAAAAAATATCCCGACATCACAATTTCTCTCATTATTATACAGTTATACTTCTATGCTTGGAGACTTCAAAGTTTCATGCTCTACGTTCTGCCAATTGGAAAGCAAGTACGAACGAAAATTATTGCAGCGTACTTATTTCTTTTTCGATATCAAAATTCTGTCAGATTGATATTCTGACTTACATTCTATCGCCACACATCTCGAAATGAAATTATCGTTCTCTTATATCACTCGCTCATCACTCTCCCTCGTAATCATCCGAATTTAAAGACAGAGCGGATATTCCCTCCAACCAGGAAACGCATGTAGAGAATTTCAAAACGAACCTGCATCTTCTCAAGTTCGTTGCAGATGCAAATTTTACTTGGCCAATTACTTTTTTTCTGAGGGAACGTCTTTTTACTACTTTATGCTAAATACAGTTTCTGCATTATCTTGAGGCCTGCTACCGCTCGCGATGCTCGCAAGTCTCGACTTGACATATTCACATATAACACGCGCGTGCGTCCTAACCTTATTCTTCACGCGAACCGGCGTGAAGTGCGCCGCGAATGACGACGACGACTTCGCATCGGGTGCCGCGCTACACACCGCGAGGATACCTTACCTTGCGGTATCCCGGTGCACGACGGCCAAAACGTGACTATTCGTCGTGCTCCAATCGTAATTCCTATCGAACCATGAATCGCGAACGCCGAACACACGCACGAGTCGCCTTCGTCGATTGCCGAGGTCGCATGCGCAGTCTACTCAGTTAGTGATGGTACACGGGCCGCTTTTCACGCGCATGCGCGGCAAACGCGGCTTCAGTAACGTGTTCGATACAATAACAAAAGTGGGCTACGGATCACCCGTAATAAATAATTCCTAAATAT